TGGCTACAACAGCAGAGACAAAGGAACAGAGAGATGTGACTAAAACAGGAGAAGAGAAATAAAGAGGTAGAGAGGAAAGGAGAACCAAGGAAAACAGAGTATTATAAAGGATAATTCTGGTTTATTAGGTCAAAGTTGGACCAGGAAGACTGCGATGAATACTTATAATGGACAGCTCTTCTAAAAGAAGTTTGGCTAACTTAAGATTTTGTTCTGTATGATCATCTGGCTGCTCATGTCCATGGCCCTGTCTGACTTTTTTAGTGATGTTACCACCTTCACAAATCTCAGCAAATGACTGCTTGACATTCAGGTCCTCTCCAAACAAGTAGCAATTAACCCTGTCACCAGCAGGTCAATCTCTCTGTGTTTTTCAGTATATCAGAGGTTTTAAATCTGGTGTCTGTGGCGACATTCGCTGCACACCGGTAGTGAAGCAATATACTTCAACCAGCAATTACTGGTTGGCCAGAGCTGAAGGGGAAAGCAATTGTAAGGACGGAGTACACTACAGATATCTGTACCTCAAATCTCAACCAAATCAACCAATATCGGTTATCTTTTAAAACAAGTGGCAGTTAAGTAATGCAGAAGTAAAGAAATATGAACACGACTTAAGCGAGGAAGAGTGTGTAGAGTAGAGCAGTTGCCACCTCATGCAGTTTCGTGGCAGACTGACAATGTGATGTTTGTGTGCTTGTCAACAGTCTGATGCAATTCTTTCTGAGCTCTGAGAGTGTGTTAGCGCATGTGTTTGTTGGTTTGTTGGTGCATGTGTGTTTTTCTGATGGATCTCCGCATGTGGACGGCAGCACGCTGAGAGCAGCAGCAGCAGATCTGCACTGAACCGCTTTCCTTCTCTTCTTTTTCTCTCTCCACGCCTTTCCTTTTACTCTTCTTCCCTCTTTTCTCCTTCACATCTCCATCTCTCAGCCCTCTTCCTTCTCATCTTCTTTATCATCATATCTTCTCTCTCCCCTTCTCTCTACTACAGATGGCTTCATTTGTATGCCGCTGGGTTTCTTTTTTTCTCTCTGTCTCTCACTCTTGACTCTCCTTCTCTTTCACCCTTTATGCCTCCCAGTTCTCTCAGCTCTTTTTGAGTCAATCTCCCATCATCTCTCTGTCACTATCTCTGTTTCATCTATTACTCTCTTCTGCTATTTCAGCCCCCATATTCACTGCTACACCATTGCCCCTTTCTCTCTGCCTTGGTCTGTCACTCTCCCTAAAGCAGCCCTGAGCAGGCAGCTTAGCAGATGATAATTGTAGTGGTGACACAACTCCCCTTTTCTTTGTTCTCCGTGTACTCATGGTAAGGCCAGCTGTACGCTGACTTATACACACCGTGTTGCAGAGCAGATCAAACACCTCAAGTTTATATAGGAATAAACGGTGCTATTATGATGGGGATGAGAATGAGAGAGAGGAAACCTATTGTGACCATAGTATGTTATGCCAGAAATGAGTTTGTCACATGGCCACAATATTCTTTAACAAGTTAGTAACTTTTTGTGTAGGTTTATTTTGTCTTTTATGCATTAATGCTCTTAAATTAAAAAGGAAAGAAATGCTTCTATCTTCAAAATCAACCTCTAAAAGCAACAATATGTAACTTTTCTTACATATTGTAAGTCCTGTGCGTAAGATGTAAGAACATATATACATATATACATAAACATGTTGATTGTTTATTTTATGTCTTGTTGATTGTTTATTTTATGTCTTGTTAAATTGTTGATTGTTTATTTTATGTCTTCTATTTATAGAAAATGTATTTTTCTTGCCGGTTTGCACCGTGGGTCCGAGAGGACTGAAATTTTATCTGTGCTGTATGTTGTACATGTATAGCATATTTGACAATAAAGCTGACTTGACTTGACTATACACACACACACACACACACACACACTATTCTTACCTCCCCATTGTGCAGCCCAGCCCCTGCCAGCCCATTCATCACCACAGGCTGGTTGTCATTTTCATCCAGAACCTTCTCTGGTACCGGCGGAGGTAAGTCCTCTGGCTCCTCCAGAGGCCTGTGGGAGGGAGCGCTGGCATTATCAGAGCGCCTTTTGGCCTCCATGTCCGCACTGTGACGGCTCTTCTTATTCAGGTCAATGGAGGCGTACTCCACCCCTGTGCACAGGGGCCCCCGCTCAGGTGTGGAGGGGCTAAGGTGGCCGTTGAGATGGGCAGAGGGATGATGGTGAGGTTCATCGGAGCTCAGCTGGACGGTACCGTTGGGGAGGCCTAGCTGCGCTGGGGGGTCTTTGAGTTCCTTAACCGTCTCGTACAGGGAGTCTTCGACGCTGACGTCACGTGACGCCACAGCAATCTCTTTCACCACCTGGATATCAGATACATACATTGGGTCCTTTAATATGCTTGACAATGAGCTAATTGCATTTAATGCTCCTGTGTTCTCATTGTAAATTTTATTATTATTATTTATTCATCAAATGCTTGTGGAAAAAGATTATTTCTCTCTATATTTTGACCCTGAGCTCTATCAATGAAACAATTAATCACAAATCCAACCAACCAAAGTTTTAATATCCATGAAAGGTTCAAGCTCAGTGCAAGTAAAGACACAATTCAGCTGCTGTGTGGTGACTTGCTGTGTGGTGAACACTGACCTCATAGGTGCTGTCCCCTGAGGCTGGGGGTCCGTCCCCAATAAGGGCGTTGTTGGGAGGAATGCTGGGAAGCTCACGGTCCTGAGGACACTTGGAGGACCTGAGCTCTGATTGGCTGGAGAGCATGTCCTCTGACGGCTGTGGACTAGTGTCCTGTGTGTCTGTGAGGACTGGTGGAGCAGAGAAAAAAAAGAGAGTCAGGGCAGGTAAAAAGATTATCATTTGGTTTTTATGAGAGAAAGATGGTATTATTATTTATTTCAGAGTAGTTTTGTAATGAGTCAGATATCCCTACAGAATAAATCCATAACTATTTATAGTTTTTTTGTCTCTGATATTAAGTAAAAAAAGAAAAAGAAAGAATATTATATGGCTGTAAAAAAACAGCAGAGGTTTCACATGAACTGACAACAAACACGTTGCATAACAACAGCTGCCGAGCAAATGTTATTATTATTGCTGAATTATAAAAGTAGAAGACAGCAGAAACATGCTGTACTTTGCCAGCACTGACTCTAATATATATAGACATACTGATACTGATATGTATATGTGTGTGTGTGTGTGTGTGTGTGTGTGTGTGTGTGTATATATAAAAACCATACATAATACTCCACAGACAAAGAAGACATGACATGCTGAAGCTAACTATCTTGTCTTACTTGTACCGCTGGTTAGAGGACCATTATGAGAGCTGCTGACGGCCACATCAGTCGCTGGACTGTCTGCTGACTGGCTGATCGTCTCCCTCTCCGACACCTGCACAACAAACGACAAGATGTTTGTCCTGGGCGAAGCTCAGACGTTGGCAGCTCAACTCGGTGCTAACAAAACTGAGGCATTCAAAACATCCATTCTTAGTTCTTTATTACAATTACACGTCACCCCCAAAAACATTGACATCCCTAAAGAGAACAGAAATCAATCTGCCCTTGTCAGCTTGCACAGGGTAGATGACTTTCACACCTCGGTGCAATCCAGAAGCCACTGTCAGCAGACTGTAATGTTATTTTTCAGGATTTGGGGGATTTCCCTCATATTTGCAGCACTGATTACAATTTCCACGCTTCCTTGTTCTTTGTCTCTGCTTTTCCAATCACATTACTGATTACTTCAAGGTCATTATCAGTATGGTACGCATGCATATTAAATGTAGTGCATTTTTACCCACCAACAAAAGACATTTAGAGATAGCTCACAATTCAAAAAAATAAAAACCGTAAAATGTTTTACGTGTTATGAAGATCTACTGCTGTTTGTTATCTCAGTTGATTGTGGTTTTTGACAAGTGGGGCTGATTTCACATCCTTCCTCTGCCTAAAAACCTTGCATGGTCACATCTCACTTCATGTTTTTAATGTCACTGTGGTTCATTAACAACAGACACTGAAACCAAGTCAAGAATAATAGCACAGTATGACTGAGGGGGGTAAAATGAGCATTAGCGCTGTCACATGAATACATATGAAACCCCTCGAAGATAATACAGTATGGATACCCACAGAGAAATTTGCTTCCCTATGTTACCTTCCCGCCCTCTACAGTAAAGTCCAAGCTACAGAACAACCCTGCAGCTGGCAAAGGTTCAGTCTTGCTCAAGGACACATAAGCAAAGCAGATTTTTGAGTCTTTACACCATGTCTTCCAGTTGAAGGCTGTTTCTATATTTGCAACATCACGTGGCAAAATCAGCAGCCAAATCGGCTCTAGAAGTGAGCAAACACTTAAAATAACAGAAACGACATTAATAAACACTGCATGTGCTGAGCACCTGCCGCATTGAGGCACGATTTATCAAAATGTACTTCAAACATGAACTGTCTTGTTTGTGCAGGCAAAGGTATCACTCCGTCACTCACTATTAAGAGCTTCGAAAACACTATGAACGTATATCAACTGGTGCAAGTCAAGATTCTCTTTGTTTAGGTTTGTTGTTTTCCTTCTGTGTGAAGAAGGTTGCATATCAGAAGCTCCACAACCCCACCTAGTGGTCAAATACTCTCATAACTATTGGTGTCTATGATGTAATCTTTTAACTATTTTATGCCCCAAATATCTCTTATGTTGTTCTTTTGTTGTTTTATTTTCTTGACCAGTGAGAAGTAGCTGCAAGATAAAGTCTTAGTCTCTCAGCCTCATCTAAGTTCAGTCTTCCCTCATTTTATTCCACATCCACATCCTGATCCTCATGGTAGAACAATTATAAAGATAACTTTTGAAAATAGGCTAGTGTTCCAAAGTTATCTATAGCTTTCTTTGTCTCCCTTTAGTACTGTCAAGTGTGTTCAAATCTACCCATAAACCATCAGATGGAATTAAAGACACATTTAAACAACGGATTTAAAACGGGAAACGTGGGAGGCGAAGGAGAGAGTGCCTCCATGTCCAGCCATGGTCGCAGCCGAAGACAGTCAGAATGACTGCAAGTGAGCGAGGAGAGCTAATCTACTCATCCGCAACGACAAAGACCCCCATTTAACCAGGCTGTGACATGGTCCGTCATTTCAATGGGCCCCCTCTGAACACTATTTGACCACCTTGCAATTGCAGGGTTGCAGTGAAGATATCCATCAAATGCTAAAAGGCTCTAAGGAATGTGTATGTGCACATGGGAGCATGAAGGCTGACACACAAAGCCCCAGAGGGAGTGACAGGATAAGAGAGTAAGTGGATGTCACTTAGTCTTTGAAAGCCGGGCATTTGTCACACTTAAATGTTGCTTGGTTACTGAAGCATCAGTATTATGGGAGTTGGTAATTATTATCTACGCCCGTGACACGATGTTCAGGAGCAGAGCACATAGTGACATTATGAGTAGTACATACCTAGAAAGTGCAAATGTCAATAGTCTTATTTCGTGACTTAAGAAAAATAAATATACAGTACAATACTTTAAATTGCATGCCCTGTTTAGTTTTTGCTTTGATGTATTTTAAAATACTATATTTACAATTCGGCTAAAGTTGCTCTAAGTATAAATGTTTTTAAATGTGTTTGTCCTTTTCCAATCTTTAAACTGCCCATTCTGTGTTGGAATCCTATTTAACACCTTGGCCAGGCACTACAGATCAAAAATATCCTTTGGTCTTATTTTTGGCAGATTCTTATTTCTCAATTTGCACTGTCCATTCTCTAAATAAACTGAACACATAAACTTAATCGTATAATAACTTGACATGTGAACAGGAATGACTTGAATTTCCCACATGTGCTCTCTTAGTAGGAGTAGTAGCCACTTCCTATCAGCGGCTGCCGGCAATTTAGAAGCAATCTTGCCAACAACTGGAGGCTGTCAATCAGCTGTGTGTAGGGAGGTTTTGTTTGGTGTATGTTTCTGTGTCAGTGTAATGGAAGAGGGTTAGAAGACAAATGTCAGAGGATGTGTGTGTGTGTGTGTGTTTGTTTGTGTGTGTGTGTGTGTGTGCTACTCAGGCATGCAGCCAATGTGGAAGCTCTATCCACAGCTTCATTTACAAGTGGTTACACTGCCTGATTACAGACATGTCACTCACACATGCAGGGACTAATGAGTGTGTGTGTCTTGCTGTGTGCACATACTTCCTTCTGTATCACAGTGTGGGTGCTTCTGTTTAAGATGTTTCCAACGTTTAGATTTAATCATTTGACTTTCTCTACTTTCCCAGAATCCCAAGATGTTACTGAACCCTGACCTGGTTACAGACTATTGTTTGCATATGTGAGAGACTGTGCAAGAGAGAGTGTGTGTGTGTGTGTGTGTGTGTGTGTGTCTGTGTATGTGTATGTGTCTATATGTAAATGTGAATGTTCTCACACACGTAATTACTAATCTGCCTGACACACTGTGGCAAGCTGACTCAAAACACACAGCTGTTCCCCTCCGCATCTAATATAACACACTCCCACACACAAAAATAAAGTAAGTGAAACTTGAAACTTAACACAATTTTAGAAATGTATTCAGTTTCTTCAAGCTCTGATGATGTGCTATCAAAACCTGCCTTTAATTTCAAAGAAATGGTTGGATTTTTGGGTTATTTCATTGAAAAGAGGAAGGAAGCGACTGCACTTGTCCAACAAATAGACCACCCCATAAACCCTGACAAAACCACAAGCTTTTTTTTGCATCGATGAAACAAACGAGAACTAACATGTTAACTGACAAGCTTTAAGGGTGCTGGTATGAGGATTTTGTATACCTCTGGACGGAGCCAGGCTAGCTGTTTCCATTCTGCTCCAGTCTTCATGCTAAGCTAAGCTAACTAGGAGTATATTTCTCAAAATGTTGAACTAT